GTCTAAAGAATCAAACCAACACACACCACAAAAACGCTTACAAAAACATCCCATGATTCAAAATTTCCCAGAATCATGCAGCCGATTACGTCACAATAGGGTTTCCATAACATTCAACTACTCAGGCTACCATAAATGAAACGACAACTTGGCGATAAATGAAACAACAACTTCGCCATAATACAAGGGGTATCTTAAAGTCTACTCTACCCGAGATCTCTTTCCCAACAATGTTTCGTTTATTTTTCAGCAGGATTCTGCTCCTTGCCACACGGCCAAAATATCGAAAGAGTGGTTTCGTACAAAGTGCATTAAATTGTTGTCATGGCCAGGAAACAGTCCTGACCTGAATCCTATCGAAAATTTGTGGCACCGTTTGAAAACTCTTGTCCGAATGAGGCACCCGTCAAATAAAAGGGAACTAATTGAGGCTATAATTGTTTCCTGGCATCATGTAATAACAAAAGAAGAGCTTGAAAACTCTTGTCAGCTCAATAAAATGTCGATGTGAAGCTGTAATAAAAAATAAAGGGTACCCTAGTAAGTACTGATAACTCGCTGCAATCATCACTATCTAATATATATCGATAACTATTATCGTTTAACTTTTTTTGTATTGCAAATAATTGAATTTTGTGTTTTGTATTGAATTCAGTAATAAATTCTTTTTAAAATGATATATACAAGTTTGCATTTTGTGAAACAACATGTTTTCTATAAGCATACAAAATTCAAAAACATAAAAATTTCCAAAAGTGTCCACAATTTTGGCCACCACTGTATTTATTTAAATTTAACAAACATTCTCTATTTGTAAAAAGCAAATTAAAAGTTAATTTAAATTAAATTTAATGCAAACAAATAAATGATTAATGTTGTTGTGAACTAATCTACAATATTATTTAAATTCTGAGAGCATATGTAAATCAAGTGCAAGTATCAAATTTATGATTAAATATAAAATCCTAAAAAATTATTTAGAAAATTGCATAAGTGAATGATTGTTGAGCAGGTAGGAGACGGACTTATCATGGGGAAGTTGCCTCCAAACCTAATTCTTCAATCATTCAATTCGTTTAGATATTTTTTAATGTATGTTATAAATGAAAGAAGAAAAAGTATAGAAAATGTTGATAAATACTAAAAATTGAATAAAAGTAGTTTTTTATATTCATAAACTAAAACTGAGTACTTAACAGCTAAATAAAAGGCAGACTGAATCCCCGAAAGTGCATTCTTATTTCAAATAATATCCCACTTTTCTCAAAACACTAGAATAGAATAATATTCTTATGTACACATGCAGTGAATAGAATGCATCCTCTATGCAGAATTATGAGGGTTGCTATTTATATTTCTGGCCTAATAATGAAAAAACAAATGTTTATGATGAAAATTGATTTTATTGTTTTTCAGAATGTTCTCTATGAAAATCAGTACACCTTTGCATGTGTTTGAACCAATTTTCGAAGTACATTTTCCACTCCGTTTGAGCTAACTCCAAAACATGCGTTTTGAATGCATTAATTGCTTCTTGGGGTGTTGCAAGTTGGTGACACATAATTAATTTTTTATGTGCGTGTGAAATTTTACTACTGTTTTGTGCTTTATTATTGGTTACTTAATTTAGTTTGATTTTCTGCATTCTTTATCATGCCTTCATCTATTAATCGTTTCACTCAATTACGCCTGAAATGACAGCAATTTCTGAATCACCTGGAGTTTTTACTGCATTTCAGTAAAAAGTGTAAATGGAAAGAATTGATTCCCAATTTCATTCAAATCAAATGTAATCAAAAGTCTTCCAGTTGCGTTTCAAGAATTCTGTTAAACTGCAAACTTGCCTTGCTTCAGTCCATCATAAGAGATACACATCAACCGTTATCCAAAATTGAACATGAGCTATATAAGCTTCATCTGGAACTCGCTAGTTCATATCCAAAATTCACTGCCGTTGTACAAAAGTCTTAGTCTAGAACTGAGAATATAGTTAACTGCCATAAAACACCCTTGCATTTAAATTAAAAAAACTTCTTTTAAAATCTTCCCATTGAAATATTAAGCCAATAGTTAATATTTCTAGTGTTAATTTATCAGAAGAACAAGAGGGAATTCTACTCACAAACCTCAAAACCTTCGATTCCAAAGATTTTGGCTCCTATCCCAAAAGCCATTAGTGAATTAGATTTTCTATTCATTTCACATGGAAATTCACATTCAAAAAAATCTTTCTGTTCTAGTTAATGACAATAATTCCAATCCAGATTTACCTTCTTCAGCTTTTAAGGAAATTATGTTTTAGTTCTCGTTTCATCAACAGATGGTGCCAGTAGCCATTTATATCTTATCTTGTTCATTTGCACTTTGGCAGCAAGGATGATGGTTTGGTAAAACCGTCGAAACTAGTCCTGTGAAAATTTGAAAATATAACGCTGATTTTTGCTATTTGATTTCTAAATTAATACTTGTTTGGCATGTTATTGTATCTTAATTGTTAAAACTTGGTTCAAAATGATAACATGAGATCACACTATTTTCAGAATGCTTGAGAAAATAATTATTATCTAAGGTAAATATTTTAGAATTTTGAACTTATTGCTATTGTAAAGTTGGTAATATTGATAATATTTAGTGTACTGTTAGGCTGAACCATTTTCCTAGGAAAAGAGTTTTTCTGCTACCTGTTTTTGAAATGTCTGTGATGATTTGGTGATGTATGCATTCTCATCTCAATCTGAAATGAAATCTGAATGAAATTCTATATGTATATATGTTCTTTGCATTGTGGAAAAATGACGTCACCTAGAGCCACCAAGTTATGAATACTTATACAGTCAAAAGTCGTTAATCTGGACTCGTAGGGACTTTGGCGATTCCGGATTATCGATTTTTCCAGATTATAGATCATCAGTTTAAATCAGGTAAGATGGCATGCAGAAATTATAAAATTAAAAATATGAAACCGTAATTTATGAAATAAAGAACAATTATGATCTAAAGAATATCAAAATTTACAAAAAAAAAAAAAAAAAAAAAAAAAAAAAAAAAAAGAGCTTAATATTTATTTGTTTACTTTATTAAAAATTTCTTTTAGTGTAAGTTGTTTAAGTTGTTTCGTTTTATGTGCTAATACTTTCTCTTTAATTCTATGAACAGATTTAATTTCTTGTTCAGTTACAAAGTTCCGCTGTTCAAGTCCTATAATTGCTGTGTCGAGAATACCGACTAATTTATCAATCGAAATTTTTTTATTTTCAATAACCTCTGTGTCGCTTTCTTCACTATCGGAAGCGAATTATAATGAGGAGGAATTTGATTTAAATCATATCAAAGACGGTGTACATCGAGATGAAATACTACATTTAGTAAGGAATTATAAGCCAAATAAAATAAGAACATCTGCCCTGAAAATAAGGATAGTGTTGACAGATCAACTTCCAATCCGTTGCGCGCCACAGCTTCTCCTCCCCAAATTAATTTCCTAATTAAATTTCAAATTTAATTAGGAAACATGGTAATTTAAAAAAACTATGTTGCCATTGTCTGAAACAAAGTATTTTATCTTCCATATGCCAATTTGTTGCCAAATTTCAAATTTAATTTGGAAACACTGTAATTTAAAAAAAACTATGTTGCCATTGTCCAAAACAAAGTATTTTATCTTCTGTGCCAATTCTTATGCCAATTTGTTGCCATTTGGCGAAATATAATTTGATTTTTCTTTCAAATTTAATGTGCCTGTTATTGATATAGAAACTAGGCAATTTATAAGCAATAAATGCAGTTCTTCATCATTATTAATTAAAGCTGGACTCATTAAAGTCGTTATATTTTCTATTTTTTATAGTAACTATTTTAGGTGGCTGTATGTTGTGCAATGGTTTTCAAAATGGTTTATCTTTCCTGTAAAATTAATGCTAGTCTAAGGTTGAATGTTGTAAAATTTGGCAAAAATATATTTACGGGTACACCTTTTCGATTTTTGGCGGTACTTGGATACTGACTTTGTGCAATTCTTTGACTTGTTATTTTGGTTTGTGTATCGCCGCTACACAAAGCCAAACTAACAAGACAAAGAATTCCACAAAATTAGTATCCATGTACACAACAACATGTCCCCCCCTTCCCCCGAAAAAAAATCAGAGAATTACAAAAACTTGGCATTGCACACTGCCTTGACTTTATCCATATGCACATTGACGTATTTTTCACTTAAAAAAAACATCAGAGAATTGCGCAAACTAGGCATTGTGCATTTTCTTGACTTTGTCCATATACACATCGAACTATATTCACTTCAAAAGTCAAAGGAGCAGGGAAAAAAAAAGAAAAAGAAAAAGAAAAATTCCCAATAAACATTTTAAATCAATGAAATAACATAAAAAAGGAAATTTATCTTTGCACTACATGAAGGAAATATCCACTTACCTTATTTACGAATTAAGATGTCTTCAGTCAAACAAAATTCCTTAACAGCATCCAAAAACTTCCTAAAATTATCTGAACTAGAATCTGTATACTGGCATCGCCACACAAATTCACAAAATAAGAGTCAAAATATCCTGTGTAGCACAGTGTATCGTCCGACGTTCCACCATGCGCATTTCCTTCCTACGAACAGGACATATAATAATGGCTACTAAATAAACTTTCATTTACACACCAGTGAAGTAATGCTCTTTTCCCCTTTCTTTCCAAATCGTACAGAAACTTCAAATTAATCTTACCACATTCAGCCATTTCCGTCTAGCAATATACTTCCTAACCAACACACACAAGCCCTTATGAATTTACCACAATCATGCAACCGATTATGTCATGATAGGGTTTCCCTAGCATTCAACTATTCAGGGTACCATTAATGAAACAACAACTTCGCGATAATACAAGGCGTAAGCTTTTCTCTAAAATTTAAGTAGTTCAAGATAGTTCACTCATATATAAATTAGCTTTTAAATGATTGTCATAATTAATTATCTTAACTTTGAAATTTATTCCAGGAGAACAACAATTGCAATGCACGATCATCTACATCCATGGGCAGGGTTGGAAACCCTGCTGGGGACGAAGGTGGATCAGAAGATGTTGGTGATGCACAAGATGAAGAATCTTCTTCTTCCAAAAGCTCTGAATATGTTGAATCAGAACTTGAAAATTTTCGCCGTCAGTGGAAGCGAGAGATAGAATTGTCCCCGAGCAAGGAGAAAGTGGAAAAATTTCAGAGTGTAGCTTCTATGACTCTAAGTACTGGAGATTCCACAGAAGCTATTGAAGAAAAGGTAAAATACTTTTGTTGTTAAAGCAGAGTCAGAGAACTACATGTAAATCTTAAGTGTACAAATGCTGAACTGCATTGTAGAGTTCCTCACTTTGTTAAGGCTAAATTGCTGTTGAACGCGAAGAATCTTAAGAACTAATAAGTGAATAATCGCTTGAGTTCGAGCAACAAGAAACAACAAGATGGAAGGTTAAATAACCCTTTATTATTCAAATAAGATTTAACAGAACTCTGTCTTGAAGTGTACGATAAAAATCGACATTTGGGCTTGAACTTTTAAGAGGCTAAAAAGTAAGCTAAAACGAATCTAAACTAAAAGGATATAGCCGAAGCTATCAAGATTCTAACTGAGTTGGCCCCTTAAAGCTAATTCACTTCTCAGCTATCAAGGGCCTGAGTACAGCCAAGCGTAATAACAGCTTTGAGAGAGAGTAGCCAACAAGGCGGATGTGCGCGAATCAGAAACTCTGATTCTCTTTCACTCAGCAAGTAGAACTTCGCGGTTAAATACCACTTTTCTTCATTGTGTATTCAGACGTGGTTCTAAAACTGTGTTCTGAATGGAAGTAATAGTAAGTTGAAGTTAAGAAGTTGACAGGAAAGGAACTTTAACTCAAAATTTAACTGCTAATAAAATTAACATAATCCTTACATAGCTTCCGACCAGACTTTAAATACTCACAAAATGTCTCAAAATGGCCTTGTTTAAGATTTTAAAGTCTAGAAACTTTCTACGTTAACTAAACACTTTCATTCACTAAATTCACTTTAAAGTCTGTTTTTAGGGCCAACTTTACAACAGTTCTAAAGTTAGAAAATTTTTAAAAAGAATTTTACAAATTTTCATAGGTTTTTGCACATACATCAATTTCTTTTACTCCAAACTTTTTTTAGCTGCTTTTTCTATCTTGGTCCTTCCATATCTGGAAGGAAAAAACATCAGTAAAGAATTTTACAAAGATTTTTCATAACTCCTACAGTTACACTTTTATTTCCTCACTTAGCCCTCATACACTTTCATTCATACTTAAACTTTTGTTTTCCCCATGCTCTCCAGCAATTGTTGTGAAATGTACTTAGGGTACTTATGTTGTGTTACCACGAACAAAACTACTGCTGCACAACATCTAACTTGGTTAACCTTGACACTGTAGACCTTACAAGACTCCCTACACGCCAATACTTCCTAATGTACTAAGTGAAAGCTTAAATTTACTTTTAAAAGTGTTAACTGGAGAGCCTAACATTAAGCACATATATTTCGTCTAAAGCATTCCATTCTTTCATAAATTCATTTACACGGAGGCCAACATTTATCTCATGTAAAATTTTAAATGTACGGCACTTTAACACAAAGGTTAAACATTTCTACTTTAACATGAACATTGAGATATTTACACATAACTTTTAAATTCACTTTACATCAAGAGTCATAATTGCTTATTTACAATTTACCACTTTTTACACGAAATCTTAACTTTAAGTTTACGGATTTCAGTGTTCAAAGAGTCTTTTCGACTAAACATATTCACAATTTAATTCTTGCAACTTACGAGTTCTTAAAAAAATTTTTTATACTGCTAGTAGCTTCTCGCCAGATTGCGAACATAAAAATCTATGATTACAAGCTATTTACAATTAAGTTCTCGCTATCTGCGATTTAACTTTTCTAAACATCTTTAGCAACTTAGAACAAGATGATATAAATTGAAATCTGTTTTTAAAATAAGATAAGCAAGGAAATATTCACTTATCTTTTTCTGTATTCCTCCATTCTGATGTGGCAGAATTGTTCAAATGTGGAACACCTCATGACCTCCAACCTCTTTCTAGATGTTTGACGCTCCTTGCTGTTCGTGTCATTGCTTTTCCTCTTCTGCCCCTTGTGGAGGAATCTGGGAGTCTTGCAGGCTGGCTGTGGGTTTTCAAACTAGAGCTTCCTCTTCAGCTCAGGTGGGGCCATTCGTCCTTCAGGATCTTTCAACTTTCGCTTGGTCCTTCTAACTTCTTGGTCAGGCATGGCTGTCTCCGCGGATCTTTTCTCGCTTTTCGTCCTCTATTCTGGACCTCCTTGGGCCTCGCTCGTAGTTGTTGTCTCTGGAAACCATGGTTTACGTCTCGTAGATTCTGCCCGTCGTTGAAATTTCTGTTTGACTGGAACCTTCTTAGCAGGCCTCACTCTCTTAGCCTGTGGTACTGCTGTTTTTGTAGAATCCTCGGTTCTGGCTCGTTGATCTGTCAGTACTACCCTCCTCCGTTTTCTTGCACTTGCACCTTTACCGGATTGGACCCACTTGGTCGATGATTGATCAGTCTGTTTTCTTTGTGTTGGGGAACTCCAGCTTGCTTTTGAACTGGCGTACTTCTATCCTCCGTTCCAGGATCCTGTAATAAATCCTCTAAAATTTTAAAATCAGCATGGCTATAATACAGCTTTATCTGATCGATATTTGCAACCAGTTGTTGTCCATTTTCGGCCTTTAAATAAAATGTTGCTTCCCGTATTCTCTCCACGCTATACAAAACCTTGGTTTGAACTTCGCCACTCTGTTTTTGGATGCGGATGATGAGTATTTCAACTTGAGTACTTTCTGTCCCACTTTATATTCCATTTCCCTTCTATTTCTATCATAGTAGATCTTTTACTTTTGTCTTGCTACATCAGAGATTTTAATTGCTTCGTCGATAATTCTCTGTATGTCTTTTAACTTGAATTCTTCTTGCCTTTGATGTACAAAGAACAGCTTATCCAAAGGCGTTAGGATTTTTCTTCCTAAAAGTAACTCCGTGGGGGTCTTCTGTGTAGTATCGTACTTTGCTGTTCTATGTAGTATCGTACAGCTCCAACTGCATAATCAGCTGCATCTGCTGCAATCTCTAGACCTTGTTCGCCTTCTGGAAATTTAAGGACTGGGGCATTAATTAGAGCATTTTTTAGTTGTTCGAAAGCGGTGTTCGCCTCAGCTGTCCAAGAAAATCTAGTTTTCTTTCTTTTCAGCACTAAAAGAGGCTCAACTATTTTCGCAAAATCCTTTATAAACATTCTATAATAATTCTATAAGCCCAAAAACAAAGATAATTTCTGAGCTGTATTTGGGGGAGGATAACTTTTAATCTCTTGTATTTTAGAATTATCAGTCTCTATGCCCTCATTAGAAATCTGGTACCCAAGGTATTGTAATTCCTTGGCCACGAACTTGCACTTTCTTGCATTTATTTTGAAACCAGCCTTTTTAAGTAAGGCAAAAACTTCTTCAAATCTTTTAAATGTTCGTTGATTGTTTCGCTGATAACTATTATATCATCAAGATAAATAATTGTACTTTTGCCTAAAACTGGCCTTAAGACTATGTCCATTGCCTTTTGAAAAGTAGCCAGCGTTCCGCTTAAACCAAACGGCATTCTTAAGAAGGCATAGACGCCTGATTTAGTAATGAATGCAGTCTTTTCAACATCTTCAGTTTTTACATGAACTTAGTTGAACGTATTTGTTGGATGATTTCATCAATTATTGGTAGGGGATACATGGGATATTTTGTTATACTGTTAAGTTTACGAAAATCAACTGCAAACCTATACGCATTCGGGTCCTCGGGCAGTAGCCCATTCTTCTTTCTGCAGAGGACCACCGGACTTGCGTATGGACTAGTGCTTGGCACAATAATTTTATTTTCTAGCATCTTTTCAATATTTTTTCGATAATTTGTTCTTTTACCCTATCATATCTATAGGTCTTCAACCAGACTGGAGGGGAATTGCCTCTATCAATAGAATGGTTAACTACTTGGCAGAATCCAGGTTTGTCACTGAACAGAGAATTAAATTTTCTTACCAACTTTTCAATCTTCTCCGTTTCTTCAAGCTTTAGGTGGTCTAGGCCCATTTCTGGCATTGAAACTTCATCTTCTTCCATGGGATCCATGTGCACCTGAAACGTAGAATTCTGGAAATTAAGATTCGCGCCGGATGCATGTAAAAAAATTGAACTCTAATGTGAGTAAATTTTTAACGACTAAAAAATTAACTTTTGACTCCTCATTTTTAATATGTACGTTCAGTGCAGTTTTTCCCAAACATAGCATTGTTTGCCTTGGGCAGCAATTACTTTTTGTCCCATCGCTTTAACCAGTCTATAACGACGAAAATGCTTCTTGAAAAAAATCTTCTGATAGAAATGAACACTGAGTCCCTGTGTCCAGGAGCACAGTGGTTGGTAAATTATTTACAAGAATATGTATCTCCGACATGGCTAGATTTTGTACCACCACTGTATTTAAATGGATTTCTGAGGGGTTTTCTTCCCACTCAGTGACCGTTGCCCCTTCTCGATCACCGGTTTGCGTTTAAAGTCTGGTTCCCCGCCGCCTCTTTCTGCTGATTTTTGTATCCGCCACCCTTAGATTTATCCATGCTCTTATTATTGAACTTTTCACTTTTTCCCGTCTGCCAATAGGCATTGTGCTGAACTTGCGGTTTCTTTTGAGGAGTAAATCTTGAGAGTTGGCCAAACTGGTTCGCATGTGCTTTCTCCAAGTTCCTTCGGCTTTGGAACTTTACTGCAAGTTGAAATAGATCTTCTAAAGTTTGCGGATTACGGACTTCGAGGAAATCTTGAGTATTTACTATACACCTTTGATTCTAGCTTCGCACGGTCTTTGACAACTGGAAATGCTTTTAATAATGCAGACTTGAAATGTTCCCAGCTGTATGATTCCGAACATGGGTCCCCCAACAATAACTTTCCAATACCCTTATACCAGCTGAAGGCTTGACCTTTTAAGGCGGTACTAGTGATTGTCACTTTCTGCAGCTGGGTTACATGATGCAAGGTAAAATGCAGATCCAATTGCTCCATGAAGGTCATCAATGAGCCCTTGCCGTTAAATGTTATAGCTGGCATCATAGATGCCCGCATTGTTTCCAAGATAAATTCGAATCCTTTCATTGGATTCATGGACGACTGAGGGACATGAAAGGTCGGAGGGGTCAGGGTAAATTTCCCGGATTTTAACAACATGATCTGTTGAAAACTTTTCGGGTGCCAAATGTAGAGTTCCTCACTTTGTAAAGGCTAAGTTGCTGTCGAACCTAAAGAATCTTAAAAACATGTAAGCGAATAATCGCTTGAGTTCGTACAACAAGAAACAACAAGATGAAAGAGTAAATAACCCTTTATTATTCAGATAAGATTTAACAGAACTCCATCTTGGAGTGTACAATAAAAGTCGACACTTGGGCTTGAACTTAAGAGGCTAAGAAGTAAACTAAAACTAATCTAAACTAAAGAAATATAGCCTAAGCTATCAAGATTCTAACCGAGTTGGCCCCTTAACACTAATTGACTGCGAAGCTATCAAGGGCCTGAATATGGCCAAGCATAATAACAGCTTTGAGAGAGAGTAGCTAACAAGCAGAGGCGTAGCTAGGATTTTCAGCGCCTGGGGACAACTGAAGATTTTGCGCCCCTTTCTCTGTGCCAAGAACGGAAAGCATTTCGTTCTAAAATTTCGTAACATCAATTTGTGCCCCCTGAATGCTGCGCCCGGGGACAGATGTCCCCCCTTGCCCCACCCTAGCTACGCCACTGCTAACAAGGTGGACGCGCGCAAATCAGAAACTGATTTTCTTTCACTCAGCAAGTAGAACTTCGCGGTTAAATACCGCTCTTCCTCATTATGTATTCAGACGTGATTCCTAAACTACGTTCTGGCCAGAAGTAGTAAGTTGAAGTTAAGAATTTGACAGGAAAGGAACTTTAACTCAAAATTTAACTGTTAATAAAATTAACATAATTCTTACAGCATAGTTATTTGAAAAGATAATATTGTATGTGACAGAGACTGGTCAACTCGCATATACAGATATTATTCGGTACCTTTCTGTTATCGAGTACATATGTATGTGCATGTATACACACGCACATATATGCACAGACACATACATATGAGCTTACGTTTTCCTGAATCCAGTCCCAATAACAGAAGAGTATCTATTATTCTTGAATTCTTTTTTATGAAATTTATGATAGTTATAAACTTTTCATCATTTGAGGATTTTTTAAAGCTTTAAAAAATTACTTCAGTGCTGAAGCTTTACATAACAAGTAGTTTATTAGTTATATTTGCTTAATAAAATTCAGAATTTCATTGTAAAATATGCCTGTACAAAAGCTATTTCCAATTTTTACTTCTAGTGCATGAAACAGTTGAAGAGTAATACATTTAACTTGGAATTCTAGTAAAGTATATTTTGCTGTAATCTCTTTAGAGTTCAAAATTAATTGAAAAATTACTAAGCAGTATGTAAGAAAAAATGAGAAGTAATTACAGTAAGAGAAATCTTTTGGAATAGCCTGATGGAAATGAGAAAAAGTTTTTATCTTATATACTATTATATTATTTTTTTGTTAATTGTAAGTGCACTAATTACACTTTTATTATTATTATATGGATATTGTAAAACACAGGCATTGTTATATATTCCTATTATAGTACAAGTGACTATATTAACATTTGAATTCTTACTGTTTTAATATTGCAGCAGACATTTTCCTTTGATAAAGTGCATCTTTTGTCATAGATATATGCGTAGGACTAATAGTATAAAATATGTCCCGTTCACCAAAATATGAATAAAATTTAGTTAGTTGATATTTAATTGTAACTAGATGAATTAGAGAACATTAGTTAGTAAATCTTTCATTTATTACTAGATTTTCTACCCCGTTTATAATTAAACTATTGTTAAGTAAAATTAAAGTAACACTATAGTATGCCATAAGCAATTAACATTAATCAGTGACTTAATAATAGATGCTATGAAAAGAAAACGTACTTATCTTTTCAGAACTGAAATAATATCTTTAATAAACATTCAATGTTTATGAATTGTAAATTAATTTAGTTAGACTCCACAAATTTAATTTATATTGATTTTATACAGAATCTTACAGAGCTCATGTTGCTTACTGATTTTATTAATGTTTTAAACAGTGCCCAAGGCAGGACCTGAGCTGGTGTTATTGCATGGAAGGCAAAAAATTTCCTCCCTATATGTATTTCAAATATGTTAGAAGATATAAACGTTTTAAAGCATCGTAAGATTTTGTGTCTTAAAAATGAGAAATTATCTAATGTCATAAATTTCATGTATTGTGTTTTCTGTATTGAATATACGAGGTGTGACATACACACACACACACGCCAAAAGAAAAAAAAAAGAGAGAGAGAGAGAGACTGTTCCTATAATATATAGTGTTTACAGAATTAGTTCTTTGTGATGTTATCACCTTCAAAGAAGTCCTTTTCAGCATTAACACTCTTCTGCATTTAGTACTGCCATTGCTGGTAACATTCCTGGAACGAGGTTTCTGGAAGGTCAGGAGATTCTTCTTTTCACTTGAACATAATGGTAAAATGAGAGGTAAAATGGGTTTCCATTTTGCAATAGGAAATTAAAAAATTTGCAGGAAGCCAAGTGTAGTGAATGAGATGGATGCTGCATTATAGTTACGTTTTTGTTGGTCAGAAACTGCTTCACAAATAGGACCTTTTAACGTATGCATGGTCCTGAAGCAGAGTGCATGGTCCTGAAGCAGAGTGATCACTGGAAACTAGCTCAATTAGTAGATTCTCTTAATGTCAAAGAAAACAGTCAACATTGCCTCGAATTTTGTTGTGACTAATCTCACTTGTCTGATAGTATCATCAGAACAAGACCATGAAATTCATCATGGGAAAGAGTGCAAGATTGCACCTGTCATTGGCAAGAGCTTTGAGCACCATACAGGTGACAGTATGACTTTGCCGAGTTCTGGCCCACAATTTTGAAGGAGAGCATCCCAGAGGAAACAGTTCCGAGGGTCTACCACTAACCTCTCGAGAGGACTTTCGGCTCACCGTATATTTAGAGTTCTTCCATGATGCACAGACACTATACATTTACAAATATTCATGCCTTCTGGGGGCTTGGAATGCGGGGCCTTCGGTAAGGCAGTCAGCATCGCTAACCACTATTCCGGTTGGATAGTATGAATTTTGATTTTGACATGCATACTTTTTTGGGTCATAGGAATCCTAGACACTCCCACTGCATCAACTGGCACTTACTTTTAGGATCATAAGTAAAAGTCAATGTTTCATGACAAGTTACAAGAGATTTCAACAAATATGGCTTGTTTCTAATGCATTCTAGTGTGTCCACGGCACTGTTTTTGGTTATCACACAGAACTTTTGGAAAAACCTTCGCACAAAGCTTCCTCACATCCCTAGTCAAGTTAACTGCACTCCATGGACACTTAATCTTTGTTCACCCCAGATTACCTCATGAACTTTGTGAATGTTTTAATATGTAATCGCTGACCTTGGGGTTCCAGAATGTTCATCATCTTCCATACTGTCCCTTCCCTCCAAAATTCTTTTATGCCATTCAGACACACGTGCCTGCAACAAAGTTTCATTTCCATATTTCATTTAACAAATGTTTCTGTGGTTGATTTCAGTTTTGCAAGAAACTTGACATAGATTTGCTGTTCAGTTTTTAACATTAGACATTTTCTGGCAGAATTGCAGTTGCACATGTTACTCCCAACTGTCATGACTGGTTGAGTTGAAATTGGCAGCATGGATGTAGTCAACTCCAAACGTTTTTCAAGTTATTCATATAGTCTCTCTCTCTTTTTTTTCTTTTTGTCTCACCTCGTAATGTGCTCTTTTAATATTTATGTACAGAGTGTTATTTCAGGCACGTCGATTGTTTTTACACGGAGTTCAAGCTGAAAGATCTGGAAAGTTACAAGATGGTAATATAAATATTTGTGCTTTAATTTAAAAAACTTTAATGAAGATTTTATCAAATTTCCACATTTCAGTGAACCATGCATTTCCATAATAGATTGAAAAATTAAAGGAATCAATCTTTATTCAACCACAGGTTTATGAAATACTACTCAGATATACTCATTACCCACTTCCTTCAATAAATTTGAACATGTATGTCAATTTGTAGCATTACTTTTACAGTTTTTTTTTAACTAAAAGCAAGAATTTGAATATTCTCTCCACCTTTTTAAAATATGCAGTGGAGGTACAGTGTTTTTTATTGCTGTACCATGTCTTGAGAATGTGGCTAAAACATCAAAATCATTGTGCAAGGTGTCCTTTACATGTTCCTATGTACAAGGAGAGAAATGAGAAAATATATATATGTGATGATTTAGAGACTACAGTAAGAGAATTTAGTTCAGAAGACACCAATAACTTATAGTAGGTGATATCTGTAATGGAATGGCAACAATAGCATAGATGTAACGTGAACGTGTTTATTGCATGGATGGAATGATGGACTTGCAGACAGATGTGGCCGAATTCAACATAATTTTATTATGGATAAAGCAATTCTGGAGATGCACTGTTTCTTTCATACATGATTGTGGGTTCAATATGCACTCCACAATTGTGTATACACAGCTACATTTTAAACACTAGAGAATGCAAATAAGTGAAGAGATGTGGGTTATTCATGGCAAGTGGCAAAAGATGATGCACAGAATGTAGTTGAAGTATCTATAGCTTGGAAATTCTTTGAATTGTGGATAGCGATTGGGCAAGAATTTTCGCAATGCACATGACTGCAGAAAATTGATGCAAAGCGAAGGGAGGGTGTACTTGAATTGAAATTAGGAATTTAAAGGGGTGTTGCCAATTAAGTTAGAAATTTATTCCACTTAAATTTTTTAATAATTTTCCATCATATTTTACATATCCCCCACAAGCTTGGCAATATAAAAATCTTTTGAGCACAATTTTGAAAAAAAGAACATTAAAGTGCAAACAAAGGAAGAGCATATCATACAATATTTACAGCAGATGAATTGCTTCATGAACATAGCCCTATAGGTTTCAGTATGCTCTGACATTTGATTCATTTACTTTCTCATACCTGAATATATAATATCATATAAAAATGTAATTTAAAAATATGATAAAATATTGCATGTCCTTTAACCCCTTCGAGCCGGGTAGCGAAAAAGCGCGCTTATCGCGGAGGCCGGCAGTGTCTTCCGTGAGCGTCTCTCCAGGGCCAGGGGCTTTTTTGCTACTAAGCCTAAATCCATGAAATTTCTGAAGTATCAACGCATTGTTTAATAATGCTCTATAGAGTATTTAAACGGCTTATGCTTTATAGATATTTTTATATATATATACTTTAATTACCTTATTTCTTGTTTAAATGCATATTTTACACATTTTTTTTTAATTACTCACCATTTTATGACTTTTAACATTATATATCTGAAAACTAAATATATTACTTAAAATTCTCTTTTCATATGAAAAATTTGAAAACAGGGATCTACACACAGTCCGACGTTACATTCCTTGAACTTGTAATAACTCATTTGCCGTTTTGGAGGATTTTTCCGGGAATGTGAACAAACGAAGCATCGTCGTCTCATTTTCTTATCAGCCTCTTCTGAACAAAGTTTTGGAAAATGTCTTTCAATTAATCTTTTAGAATCAATATCCGAATATCAAAATTTCAGAATCAATATCTGAAATATTTTGCATCATTTCTGCTATTTCATGCTCTGTTAAACATTTTCGACACTTCGACATTGCAACGGTAAAAACAGAAAGAATTCACGTCTAACAAGATATAATTATTTTCTAAAAACTGAACTGTAAATCGAAATACTCAACGCTTTAGCGCATATAAAACTTCTACTTACAATAAACAACTGCCACGTGCGAATAAAGTGCGATTTAAAGAGACGTCATAAATCACGCCATTCGGAAACATTTAGTTCCCCGTTTGTTTATATAATCAAAAACACGTGTATGTGAGTCATGCTTCTCTCATTTCGAGTAGAAGGTCTAATGTACATGTATCTGTGTTAAAGGACGTGCCATATGGACATACAGTGCCATCTTGTGGCAGAAATTATATTTTGAAAAACGTTCCAGGACGCTGGCACAAATACCTGACAGTAGGTAGTAAACGGGAAAGTGCTCTGTCACGCCTGCGTGTCAGCCGGTAGGTGAGTGTGTTCGTTGCTGGCACGTAGACGTGACAGTCGGCGCGAAGGGGTTAAATTGAATTAGAGTCCATTTTGAAAATATCTATAATAATATAAGTTTGTAAAGCTCTAAAAACTTTTTTTGTTAATAGTATAAAAATAGTCTGAATTTGGACTATTAATTTTGTTGCAGAAATGGTTCAAAATGTTCAGATTTCTTGGAATGTCATTTGAATAGAATGTCTTAAGTGTGTTTTATTCAAGTTACTTTTGAGCAATGAGAATCTGTGATTTTATTCCTGGAAATTTGTTTATGTTTGTAAAATAAAAAATAAGAGAACAAAAAATAATTAAACATAAATCTAACAAACCATTTTTTCCAAAAATTTTATTCATATTCTTAATCTAATTGTTATCATTTATTTATTTATGTGTAGTTACTTGTAATATGATTACATTTTATGCTATATATTATACAGTACAAAGTCCGAAATCTGGACGTCCAATATCTGGAATGGTCTGAAATCGGGACCTGAAAACCACCAACAACGTTTTTCTCGTAGGCTTTATGCATGCACATTTGATTCCTCCTTCCGTGCATGATAAAACATCTGGAGAGTCCTGATTCTTAATTTCATTTTGACACTAAATAAAATACCTTGTTATTGAAGAAACAATTATTTTAGCATAAATTTGTATGACCAGTAATTTGGCTCAATTGCTACGTATCTGCTTGGCATGCATCTTAAACCAAAACATTCCACATAGATACATCATTGATCTGAAGCCAACCTGGCGAATCATTAATTGTATTATACTTTCGTTTCATCACTGCATATTTATCAAAACATGACAACTTGAATAATGGCTCATGTAGCGATGCCTAAACAATTTTTTTATGTCAGTAATTGAATAATAAAGGAGTATGGTAACCTTTTATGTTGATAGTACGTTTGGCGATGGTTACAGATTTAAGTTAAATGTGCTAAAAATGTTGGCAAGGAAAAATTTACCAAAAATTTCTTTCCATATGCTAAAAATAGATTTTGTTGATGATACTCATAGACCCAAAGATTATATTTAGGGCTAATTGAATTAAGAATAACCGATTTGTTATTCACAGAGAACCAGTGATAGGGCTCATATGGCCACACCTATCACAGAATTTTGGACCCACAGAAACTGCATCAGGCGGTAAGATATCTAGTGCCGATCCTCAATAAGGCTTAAGTATACATGAAAATTTATTTATTCAGAACTCTGATAAGCCTTAAGTATGTCAAGAAATAGACATAAGTATAATAAACTAATACAATTCAAACTTAATTGTCTCAGTGTGCGATAGAAGCAAGATAAAATTTAACGGAACAATTTGTCGTTAGTCTCCAAGCTCATGATGTGTAGCCAAATATGTATAGTGAACAATAGCTAAATTTGATGATAATAGCTGCTAATTTTAAAGGTTTTTGGATATTGCAAAACAAAGGTGAAATTTTCCAATTAACAGAATTTGTAAAGAAATGTGGAGAAGCAGCAATAAATGAAGATGATATAAAAAAGAAGTTTTTCATTGTGATGACAATGCTTCTCAATCATCAATCAATTTTATGAAAAGGATTTCTACACTGTGAAATAACATTTATAGCATAAGATTAAATTTTTTTTTTTTTTTTTTACTCTTGATGATCTCTTTTTAGATATTTGAGATAATGGTGTTTTACAGCATGTTTACTTAGATCATGCATTATGTATTTTGAATCAGATTTATGCTTCTGGGACATAGAAATGACACTTGCTTTTATTGTTTTGGCTTGTTTTAAATATTTTAAACAATTTTACATCATTAAATAGCTCTCTTTTTTTATTTATTAATTTTTTAAAATGTTACAGATTATCTTAATCTTTGATTTCAAGACATTTTATACAGTTTAAAAATTGGAAGGATATTTGATTCAGACCAGGTTAAAATAAAAATCAAAGCTTGAGTAACAAACAATTCTCGTGGAAAAAGCTGAGTAAATAACTTAAAAATAAAAATTAAGAAATATATTCATATTTTCAAGGCAGAAATATATAAGCTTTTCTTTCATAATATCTTTCAAATACATTACTTTCTTTATCCTTTGGTATATGAAGAATCTTCTCTCTCTCTTTCTTTCTTTCTTTCTTTCTTTTTTTTTTTTATGTTTATTTTTTTATTATACAACTGCTTATCTTTTTAATTGTATTGTGAATTTACAGTTTAACTTTTTTAAATGTCTTGTTGATCAGCTTTTTAAAATTAGAACTATGGAACTTAAGATATTAAAAAATACACTAACGTTTGAAGTTGATTTTCTTATTTCTTCTTTTTTAAATATCCTTTACTCTTTTTTGGCAGATTAGGGATGCATGTACAGTCAAAAGCTGAAATTGGCAGACTAATAATAATACATTTCATTCTTTTTTCAATAAATAAATAAATTACAGTATTTTTACTGTCAAAATTATAAAATAACACATTTAGCATTACTTACAAATGCAACAGAGATGTACTCCTTTAAGTATAATTACCAATTAATAAATAAATATAAATGGTCTGTGAATCACTTCCTTCTGACCTGTTAAAAAAAAATTTAACCAAACTTTAGGAGATGAAGAACATACTGAGACAACCATTTTTATCACAGAATGCATGGCTGAAAATGAAACATAAAGGCACAAGAGAGCGCTTGATGATGAAATCTAAGCAAATACAAGAATAATACGAAAGATGAAAAACAACTTTAATAGAATAATTACATTAGTTTGTTAGTTCATTGCTATGTAAGATAGTTAGATAATGAAATATACATTCGTTTACATGTTTTGGAATGAAAATTTGCAAATGGTAACTTGAGAAAATAGTTCACAGTAAAATAGCCTAAATCTTAAAGGCTTCTGATCTAGGTCCCATGAGCAGGTTTTAAATTTTTTAGTATTTAACTATATGCAAGCAATATAAAAAAGTGTCATGGCATATGTATAAATCAGTACTTACAATTTTGTATGCAAATTCATTATAAAAAATATGCGTATTTAAATTTGATTTGTACATGTATTTACCTATAATGGATTATTAAATCCATGTGTCAGTTAGGGTGCTGTACTAATAATTTCCGCATACAGGTTACCATGACATAAAAAAATTTGGTATCCTATGGCCTATAATATAAATTATAATTGTGATATAATTTATGGAAGATTACATGCTTTGTCAAAAAAAAAATGTGCCATGAGTATATGCAGTAATCTTCTTACATGCCTTTTTTTTTTTTTTTTTTTTTTTTTAGTAAAAAGAAGCATGTAAAACCAGTATATAAAGTATCAAAAATAAAGGTATTTATTTTTAAATAATAAAGCTGGATAGGAATTTTGCCAATTGATATAAGTCGATAGTCGATATTTGCATAAAAAGTTTTTAGAATTGAAATTAGAATTAAGATATTTATGGTTGTATTTATATTGTATGGCTGTTCTGTTGGGATTATTTTATCTTGGGCTATTTTGACTGGTTGCATTTTCAACTTATTTAAAATTCAGAAATTACTTGGTATGTAAGTTTTATTTGCATTCAGTATGTAAATTTTTTTTTTTTTTTTACCTCATATAGTTACTTTAAGGCATTTGGAATTGGAAGATGCACGTCTAATACTATTGGTTTTATAAATGAATTATTGTTTTAGTTTGTTTTGTTTCAAATAAAAATATTTTGTTTTAATTTATCTAAGTGGTTTTTAGTTATTTTCATACTTATTTGTAATTTTCTGCTAAACTTATTGCTAAACTAATATTTACTTATTTCTTTCCATCAGCCATAGCTCTGTATCGTAGAGCTATTCAGCTAGTTCCAGATATAGAGTTTCGTATTGATGATAGTTTTGACTATGGTAAGTCAATTTTTTACATATATAGTTTATAAGAGTATATTTTCGTAATAGCAGTGCATGGAAATTTAGGCTAGATATATTTTGGTAATTATAGTAGGAAGTATATTTCAGGAAAAAAGGATATTTGGTATTTTGCATATTATTAAATTTTATATGATTATATAATAAGACTATAAAAAATTATTTGCAAAATATATAATAAATTGTCTTTCATAATATTTAAAAATATTATATAGGTTTATGTGTAGGATATTTTACTGAAGTACTGCTGTTCTACTGAGTATTCAGATTAAAGAGCTGATATAATGATTTATTATTGTTAGGGTTTTAAAATTCAAAATTTTGTTTACATGTAAGATACTATAACTTGTTACATAGCGATTTTATACTTGTTATAATGAACATTTTCCAGAAGTATATGTAATTTTTCTGAATTTTTTTGGGTGGAATATTTAACAGGAATATATATAAATAAAGAAAAGCATACATAATATTCATTATAAAGTAAAGCATTGTAATGAATATTGTTGCATGCATAAGGGTTCATAATAGATTGAATGCACACAGAACCAATGATAGGGTGGTATCTATTTTACCCAAAAAGAAACATTTTATAGTTCTGGAACTTTCCACAAAAGTTCTCATACAGCTCTTTTCATTATATGACAGAGCACAGTTAGTAGCTAACCCTTCAAACAACAGAATGTTAACACAGTGCAAAGCACTTCTAAGGAGCGAAGTTCGCACACGTCAACTTCAAAAGTCAACTTCGAACTAAAAACTGAGAACTGATGTCCTCTGCAAAATTGTGTAATTTTCTTGAGGCCCACTGAGAAATTTTCAGTACCTTCTATTTCTCAAAATTACTAGATACATTAGGAATGGATATGGTTACAGTCACATGTAGAGATCAATTTCAGCTATGCAGTGGATGGCCCACCAATGAGTTGCTGAATACTGGTAGTTCCGTCCGAGGTTCGAATCCCATGAATGGGCTGGCTGCATGGGCATTGTGGTTTTCCCCATGTTTAACATGTGTATGAACCAATTTGCCTTAGAAAGTCCTCCACAAAGGCATCCCACCCTTTAGACAGATAGCCCTCAAGTGCTTTGCCATAGTCAAATAAACAAACTGAACCATTTATAAGGAGCCCAGCAAAACTGTCACCACGTTTGGTGATTTTGGGTGATTTTTTGCCAAATTTGGTAGCAAAAATTAGTTGCCAAAACCATCGCCAGCTTAGCAATATAGGCAATTTAATGAGATAGCCATTTATCTCAGTGTTAACCTTTTGAAAACGGGATGGCCATTATAGTGGCCATAGAGTCCTCTCTTTTTAAAGACAGGGTTGTCCACTTTAGTAGCCATGTCTTTTCCCCCCATTTTCCATGCTGAAAAGTGGGATGAAATGTCAAATTTGACATCCCTGGGGTTTTAACCACTTATCTCTTTCAAAGGTCTTTCTTTTGCGACATAGATACATCCCTCTGAGAATCCATTAAACTACACACAAGAATCTTTGTTGCAAATAGGAGGTGATTTCTTAAAGGGGGGAAAGCATTCAGTTCAAGATTCCCCGTCCTTTGGTAGCTTTTACGGGTACCAAAGCCCCGGCCTCAAAAAGTTAAATAGACATACCCCTGTAATCTTATTTTTATGTGAAGATTTTTATTTATCTTTATATAAAATCAATTTTATTTGCTGTTAAGCATGAAAAAGTTAAAAGATTTTTCAATACTTAATCATCAGTAACAAAGCAAAAGTATCAATACAGATATCAGTTTTTGGAAGATTAAATGGGATACTTGAGATAATCTCTTAATTGGAAGATTTCTGAAATTTGATTTATTTAAGACTTGAAAAATTAGGTATTAATGTAATCATATAAAAAATAAGATTTTGATGAATGGGAAAGCTTCAATAATGAAAAATGATTTATAGTTTAGAGGTAATTTTGAAAAAGATGATTTATTGTGTATATAAAAGGGCTAGTATTAAGTATAACTTTTTTTTTTTCTTTAACAGATGATTTTTCTGAAGATTCAGAAGATGAAAGGTATATTTTCATATACCGTAAATGATCATCGTGACCACTAAAATAACTTGCATTAACATTTATTGACTAAAATATTAGAAGTTATGTATTATAAATATGTGGGATGAATTTGCTTTGATTATGTGAATAAACTAGTTTTTTAATTTTGTTAAGTTATTATAAACAATTAAATTCATGTTGTTGTTGCTTTTCCTCTGTGTTCTGACGAAATCAGACAAGGTCCAAAAGACCGCTGACTTTAAGAAAGTAGAGCACAAGGAGGGAGTTGATATGAATATCCTCCCTAGAGAGGTCCAAGCAGACCAAAAATATGTTTGGCAGAAGCCTGATGTTCTCGGCACTTGGCGCATGTGCAAGATTTCTATGCCCTCCTTGAAAGAGAGGTAGACTTATGCAGAATGGAAGATAGCACCAGCAAGATGAAACTGCAGGTGTGAAAAAAGATAGAAGTCTAAAAAGCGCATTTGAGTCCGTGCAGAGTCCAGCTGGTGAATGCAGACACATCTGGTCTTGTATTATCTTGATGGAATTCAAGTCATTTTTCCTTGATAGCAGCATCAACATGGGCTAGCATCTCGCTGTACACTTTACTGGTTAGGTTTTACTTTTTTCCAGATAATCTTTGGATATAATATCATGGCAGTCCAACCAGATACAAAACATGATCTATTTGTTTGTCAAATTGTGCTTTGTGATGCTGCTGATAAGCTAACCGGGTGCAGACAAACCCCCTTTTCACCCCGTAATCCACTCTTCATCACACGTGATGATCTGGTCCAGAATTTTGTCTTTTTATTGATATTCAAGCAGATTAGTGCAGGCTCAAACGCATCTGGCCTTATCTACTTGAGCCAGCTCATGTTGCACCAAGCTACTGAACTTGTATGTCGACTTTACGCAATGCAAAGCGGGACCAATGGACATGACACGAATGTCTAACTCCTTAGCAAGCTCTCAAGTGGTTGCATACTGATCTTCTTCCACAAGTTCTCGTTGGTGGGCTTCATCAACATCAGTAGGCCGGCCAGAGTGCTTTTCTTCTTTAATGTCATAGTCCTTGTTTTTGAATTTTCGATACCAAACCTTCACAGTGTCTTGTGATACAACATTAGTACCTAAAGCTGTAGTCATAGTAACATTTTGTAGGTGACTTTTTGGCAACAGAACTGGAAGTAAATGATGGTTCTAATCTGGTAGCATGATAGTTAGTTCCATTTCAGACATCTTGTACTTAATGATATTTTTTTACAAACTTCACAACACACTGTTCTAAAGCAAGTCTCTTTCTTTCAAATGCTAAAAATCGTTTAACAAAATATTAAACATGCCAACAGGAACAGTTTGTGCAGACGATATTTACAGTGGTGGGGAAACTTTTGTTAAAATCTGATATATGAGTTGAAATAGCATTTCAAATAACGATTATTGGAAGTGTTAGGGCAAGAAGAATCTGCATAATATTCGTAAATTTTAAGTAACAAGAATCAATGAAATATTTGTGAATTTGTAGATTATAGCAACATGAATCAGCACAATATTCTTAAATTTGCAGATTAATAAAAATCAGCATAATATTTGTAAATTTGCATAAATTTATGATTATTACTCCGATTCTTGTTGCTTTAATACCTCCGATAATATGAAGGTATTAATCATGTTTTTTCCCTTGTAATATTGAAAACCTCCAACTGTAATATCAAAACTTGATGTAAATCATTTGAAAGATGAACAATGAGTAAAAAATAGTTTCAGAATTCTGAGTAAAGTATTGAAATTGAAATAATCTAATCTTTTATATTGCAATTTCTTTTAAGAATCTAAAATTAAAGAAAGTGTTTTAAATTGAGGATATAAGAAAAGAAAATGGAAAGTGTAAAACATAACTTAAATTTTCAAGATTTGAATTTGGAAAGAGGAGTGAAATTTACTCCCAATAATTTTATGACCATTCTGTGACATTAAATTTAATTTTTAATCCAATATGTCATTTTTAGGTTCAAGTTATCATGGAATTAGAATTAGAATCAGTACTAGAATTTTTCCTAATGTAAGGAATTTAAAATTTGCATTTTTTAGGAAAATTTTTTTAGTGATTGTTTGCAAAATAATGATGACTAATAACTTCACAGTATTAAAATGAAAAATGGATATCTGTACTAAAATTCTTACTGAATGTCGAATATCTGAGTTTATTAAAAATTCATAAACCATTCTAAAAAGGAAATGTTAATATAATTATACAATCAATAAAGAAAATTGATTTGGGAAAAGTTGATTTCTGTGGTTAGAACTCATAAAATTAAGATCACTGATAAAGATGGAATACTACACCGGCTACTTTTCCAACTTTTATTAAATGTGAGCAATTTATTAAACAAGCTTTAGTAAATGTAAATTAGTGACACAGATTCATATCGTATAAGTGTTTTACAATGATGAATAAATGTTATGCGTATTATTTATATAATTCTGTTTAAAAAACTAAGTAAAGCCTTCAATTATAGTAATTATCAGATTTGTAGGATATATTATCTTAATATTAAGATATTTTTGAAGGAAATGAAAATACTTACTAAGTCAGCAAACTTTCATTCTTAATAAACATTGATCAATTTATCTGTTGCATTTCCCCCTGGGTTTTTATTAGTTTTAATAAAATTTTGCTATTTAGTGGTTATTATGTATGTTTTGCTATTCTGTTTGTAAAATTAACATTTTAAATGCTTTAAAAATGTGCTTTTTATTTTGTAGTACCTTAGATGAGAATTCATCAGAAAATGATGATGATGAAATGGACAATCTTATAAATAGATTTCAAAAGTTGGCAGCAAAAGCTGGAACCTCTGTAATCTGTCAGCCAAAACAAGAGCAAAAGGTAATTTTTCATTTTGATTTTCTGAATATCATTGAATTTTCTTTTAAATTAATTTTATTTAAAAAATGTTAGACCATTTAAAAATATTTTTGTGTAAAATTAAATACAAAACGCTTAGCAAAATTAAACTACAGAATTATTTTTTATTCACCTGAACAACTACCTACTTTTAAGTTAATCGAAATAAAAGAATGAAATCAGTTTTTAATAATAGCATAGATTTTTTTTAATAATATCATAGATTTTTCTTAATAACATTAAACATTCACTTTTTTGTTCCACCAGTGGCTATGGGAGTTCAAACTGGGTTCAGTCTCAGGCAAATGGGGTGGCTGGCAGGTTAACTTTTGTGGTTTTTCTCATGTGTAACATGAATATGAGTCATTTTCCCTTGGAAGGCCCTCCACGGAGGCATCCCCTTCTTTTAGGCAAATCTCCTTTGTGTGTTGAGCCATATCTGATTATTCTAACCTAAATCTAAACACAAACTAAAATCAAAGTTATGCTACCCACTACAAGAAAAAATCTCTTATGTGGAATGGGAATTTAAAGCCTTCAGTTTATTCTGTTTTTAAAAGAAGCATTTATGATTAAGTAGGAAATCTCAGAATAATGCTTTTTTTGGGGGGTATCTATATATATTATGTAAATGAACTGAAAAGAAACATATAAATTAAGCATCTTAATTTTATTATATTTCAAAAGAAGAAAAAGTAATTCAGGTGAGTTTGGCAGTAATTCAGATCTGAAAGACTAAACTGCAATTTTTTATTAACTGCAGATAAAATAATTTGATAACTGAGATATATTGGTAATGTTCATTATTTTGTAACTACACGTCTCAAAAGTGAAATTGCAACACCGAGGAAAATGCTTATTCTTCATGCAAATTGCAGGATCGAGTTGTGAGATGGATATGCAAATGATTAAAAAAACAGACATATAAAGTTATTATAAACCAATTTATTCAGTATCTAATGTGCCCACCTCGGGCAGCAATACAGGCCACTATCCGGCGAGGTATTCTATCAATGAGTTCATTGATGATTGCCTGAGGCAGCCTTTGCCAAGCCACATCCACTGATGTACGCAGATTATTCAGGGTTTGCGGGCGTGGTCCTCGATTAATATGACGTCTAGTGACATCCCACAGGTGTTCAATGGGATTCAGATCTGGAGAGGCTGCTGGCCAGGGTAGGATGTGAAATCCAGTCAGGCTGTTAAGAGTATGCAATGCGACATGCAGCTTTGCATTGTCTTGCTGGAATACTGTGTTGGGTGCACCCTGCAACCAGGCATAACAACAGGCTCCACAACTTGCATGAAGTAGAGGTCCACTGTCAAACTGCCTTAAATGTGTACCAGGGGCGTCTTCTGATCAGACATTATGCCATCCCAAACCATAATGCCTGGTTCAGGACCAGTGTGATGCTCGGTGCAAATGGGTTGTTTTGTAGCCTTCTCCAGGTCGCTGCCATATTTGTCGACAGCCATCATTCCTCCACAGACAGAAACGAGACTCATCAGTGAACAAAACCTAATACAATTTGATGGTCCATGTACTATGACACCACACCAGACATCTAATCTTTTGTTCAGCAGTCAGTGGTCCCCCTGTAGCTGGTATCTGTGATTGTAAGTGTACTTTATGCAATCTGTGGCATATAGTTTGGGTGGACACAGATCCACCTGCTCCTGGAGGCAATCGGTTTCAGATGTCAGGCGACATGGAAAAAGGGTCTCCAATAGTTGACCACCGAATACGTCGGTCTGTGAGCACCACTTCCTCTTCAATGAGCATATACACCTTCCTGGAATCCATCGTCTGGCACAATGTTAGATGGCATTAACATTGTGCCCAACACGAGTGGCTATCTTGCGCAGCGACAAACCATGTTCATGGAGTTCGATAATATGGTCACGTTCCTTGGTCATTAACTGATGGTGTTGAGCCGATTGAGCTCACCAACGTCTCGAAGGCATTTTCTATGTTCTTCTCCAATGATCCATAAACCCTCAAATGCTGTTTATGGAAAGGGAAAGTGGCTGAACTTTATAGCCTGCATATGCATACCACGTGATCCAATGTGTGTGCAACTTTTATCATATGCATATCCAACTCACAACTCTCACTTCTGCAATTTGCATGGCGCTACATGCATTCTTTCTTGGTGTTGCAATTTCACTTTCAAGAAGTGTAAATAAAACTGAGTGATAACCAAGCTTATATGGTTAGATTTTGAATATTTATTATTTTAAATGAAAAATATTTTTGAAGAGTCAAGTAAGTAATAAAAGGGGACAATCTATTTAACAAAAGCTCTTAAATAATTAAATTCTTGAGTATAGTTTGATTGCTGAACAATTGTAGCTGCAATAATAAAACTTCTTTTAAAGTGGTATCTTTTCCTACCGTTTTAATCTTTGCTTTTTGACTAATTCAGTGTTTAATTTTGATTTTATATTTTTTCTTGACAGATAATACTAATGTGTGGCAGTGTGAAATATTTATCAAAGTAAATTTTTTTATTAAGTATTTATTACATTTTTATATAACACATAATTTCAATATTAGTTTGGTAGTAGGTGGATCATGAGAATGTTTTTTAAAGAATTAAACTAAGAAATCCAATTATTTTATAAAGGAAAATAATGAGCATTGCATGATCTTAAACTTGCAAGGCTCATTTTTTATTTGTATTGATAAAAGGAACATCAAAGTTAGTGCTATCTTTTAACTTGCATATTATCCTAATGACCATAAAGCTGTTGCCAAGCAGCACGATTTAGGACCAGTTATTGGTAAGCATGTTGTAACAATGGACTCTTAACATCCATCTGCACTTTCATGTGATCTTAACTCCAATTGATTCTCGATACCCAACATTTTGTTTTTTTGAACAAGAATATAAAGAATATAAACTGTTTATTGCTGCCTTTTTTCTCACATTTTTTGGGGGGGGGATTGAAATTTGGCACCTGCCTTCTGCAGAATCGGAAGCAGGTGATATTTTCAAAGTTAAGGGATCCTACAAATAATAAAAGTCTCTGTTATTGGACACGATTTGGTCAGCTGAATTTGGACAACAAAACAGTAATAGATTAGGACAATTACTGGCATGAAGTTTTAACTTCCAAAAAAGTTCCAAAAAAGTTTCTGTTAAAATTGAAGCTTTTTTACAAAATAAAGAAAGAAAGCTGGTTGCATTCTGATTATTTATTAGATAAGAATGCATGAGCTGTTTTAGAATTCCACAGAAATGATTGATGCAGCTTTAGCAGGATCTCTGCCAATTTTCATGGTTTGATGGTAGTCAACTTTCACGGTCGACGGAATAATACATAAGAGTACTCTTTTGTGTCTTTGTGTGTTTCTTCAGCACCAGGTATCATCAGTTTGGTTTAGCCTCTGTACTGGTGATAATTGTTTTTATGAGCATAATTTGCATAATCATGTTTTTCATTTAATTATTCTTCCCCAGCAACAGATTTTTACAATTTGAAATTTGCCAAGAGATAAAGAAGTAGCTATCCATTTTCGTCAAGAAAGAAATATGCCTTGCAAAAAAAGACTCTGCCGTATTCATTTATGCCAGGTAGACATGACTAGTTGGATCACACAATTTCTTTCGTTACTTTGCAGTTTTGTTTATTTACAGCGTATTCTGAGTTTGCATTGTCCTGTAGTATAATAATATATATAAAAAGGAGACATTCAGTTTTAAATTATTTAAAATTGATTTTCCTTATAATGCTAGATTGGTGTTTCGTCATTGCATTGTTATTTATTATTTTTACAGATGAGTCATATGTCTGTTCTCCCACCTGAAATATTTCATTATATTTTGAAGTGGGTTGTGAGTCAAGATCTTGATGTGCTGTCTTTAGAAAGAGTGTCAAAGGTATGACATAAGTTTTAGAGTCATGTTTTTACTGTTTTTAATTATTTCTGTTAGTATAATAATTGTATCTTTCTGAATTATTTTTACTGTTTTAATATGTTAAGGGAACCTGGAATCTTTAAAATGACTTTTTCTTGTTTAAAAACTTTAATTTATTTTTTCATTTTCAACTAATATTAAATGGTTTTATTAAACAAAATGATTTTAAGCTGGATTTTTTTAAAAAGTGTTATCTGTCATCTGCAATTTTCAGTGTTTTAATGCCAATTTTTTATTGTGTGTTAGAATGTTCTTCATAACTTAAAGGATTCATTTTACAATTAATGAATCAGTTTCGGAGAAAAAATAAAAAGCATATTTTTGGTTAAAAACTTTAAAGAAATATATAATTTCAATTGCATTTTCATTTTCAGTTGTTTTTCTTGTCAGCATTTTGCAAAACTCATCCTTCTTTCTATTAAGTATGTAATAATAAAGGGTACTTGCATATTAATGCAACCACCTTGGCACAGTTTGCTGACTTTTTTACTGATGAAAAGGTAAAAGTTACTTATTGATGCAAGTTGGTGATTTTCTCGACTTTTTAAAAAAGATTGCGAATTTACGTCGGCAGACATTATCAACGAGTGAAAAGAAAATGTACTTTAACAATTTAAAGGTTACGATTGGGTGCCCTTTGTTTTTTGGCGATTCTTTCTTGACGCCAAGATTGGTGCCAGGAAGGCACAATTTCAAGATGGCCACTACACAAAACCAAAATAAGATGTCAAAGAATTGTACAAACTCTGTGTCCATGTACACATCGATCTGTTTTTACTTAAAAAATCATCTTAGAATTACACAACTAGGCATTATGCACTGCCTTAAATTTGTCCATGTACACATCAATCTATTTTCATTTAAATAAAATCAGGAAGCTACATCAAAGTTAAAACTATCATGGTAACCAGAAGTGAAGTTTCATCACCAAAATTAAAAAAAAAAAAAATCGTCGCTAATTGAAGGGGCACCCAATTCTACTCTAGAGCCAATTTAAACTATAAATTTTATTTATTAAATAACGATTTTGTGATAAATTAAAAAGGTAATATTCGTATGAGAAAGTCTCTTCTCGACTGCTGCTGTTATTTACCCCATACACATTGAAAATTTGCATATGAAAAGGTTTCTCCTTCTTGACCTCAATGCTCCTAATCCTTTCATTTGTTAGGGCATTTTCTTCATCAAGCTTTACTGTCCACTTGATATCTCTTTTTGTGTGTGTGTGATTTTCACGTACTAAATATGGTTTACAATCCTATGTTCTGTGGTAACGAGTTCTTGATACTCACCATTATCCCTCTGAATTGTTGGGCAAATTTGGAGGCACCCTGTATATATATATGCTTTCTAATTCAGTTATTTATAGAGTTTAAAATGTCTGTTTCCTCATGTTTCCTGATTGATTGTGCATGATTTTAATAGATTTTATTTTTGCATTTTCTTTTATTACTTTCTAATATACAATGTAAAATAAATTGAAAAATAATATATTTAAAATTTATCCCCTATTCAATTTTGAATACATGTATGAAAAATCTAACAAGAACATTAGCGCTCTTCCTAAATCCCCAGAAATTAACCATATCCACTAGATGAGTGCAAAAAGTAAAGACAAATATATTTTACATAGTCGTCAGGGTATTGATATATCGAAAAATGTAAAAAGAAAAGCCTTGTTTCTGAATTAATAAATACACAAATATACAAAATTAATCTTGAATCAGTTCTGTGTAAATTAAATCAATATCTGTTCATTAATCCAGTCACTACTGGCTGGAATAAAAAAGGCCTTGCTCAAAATTAAATGAATTAAAACAGTTAAACAGTTTACCCCAAATAAAAGTGAATCAAAAAGCAAAAATTACAATATAAGCAAAAATTTCAAATTTCTATTAAAAAAAAAAATTCTTAACCCTTTGTTGCATCATGTCCACTCTAGTAGACAAAAGTTTAAATTTGTTTATTCTGCTATAAATGCCTTAACAGATTCCATTCCTGTGTTTATTTATTCTATATTATTAGAACTTTCAACTGTCAATCATAGATGGCTGTATAGCATCAGTAAGTAAAGCATTGCTATTTGGAAAATGGCTGCTACTTCTGTTTCCAAGTTAGTACAATTTCTCATAGTAAACATTATATAATATTGCTTACATTTTCTTACATTTTTTATTCGTAATTAGTAATTTTAGACATTTTATTTTAAATGTCATTTTGAGAAAATTGTGCAGTGGGTAGATAAAGATCTACCGAAAAGAGTGAATTGAAATCCAAATGTACTGCTTATCAAGCCAAAACACCACTGGAAATGTTTATGTTTGGCTAGGAATTTCTAGAACATTTGCCATTTGAATCCAATAGGTACAGGTTACAAAATCGTAGCAAAATGAATTCAATCACAATCGACGAAATGAAGGTATTTTGTGGAATCTGTATGTACATGTCAGTTGTGGATTTACCATTTAGAAGATGGTAATGATCACTGCAAACAAGGCAGGAAATGATTTCAAATGCAATGACCATAAATCATTGGGAAGAGATTCGTATGTACACTTAGTCACAAAAGTAAGTATGCAAGTCATAGCTTAAGTGAAAAAAGCTCTAGTTCTCAAATAAATATTAGAAAAATATTATTTTGGAGAGTGTTGTTTATAGCTTCTGATTCAAGTCATAAAGTAATGAAAAATAAACCAAATCTTATATTTTAAAAACTTTTAAGAGTAATTTTGTTAACTACCAGTAGAAATGTAAATCACAAAAGTATATGTGCACTGTGAATTTTTTACTTTTAAATAGGCTGAATGAAACTTCTCGAGTCATTTTTTGTATTTCAGGGATAAGAAGTTCTGCTACAAAGCTTGTAAGTTTGAGCTTTAAGTACATCAACAATTCACCAATGACTCCACGTGGTAAAGAATTATCAAAAGATCTAAAAGATGTAATAACAAAGCTCTATAAGGAAAACAAGTCCCAAAGACAAATCGCTAAAATCATAGGCAAAAGTCCTACAACAGTGCAAAAAATCATTGAAAAGTTCCAGGCTGAGGGAAATACTCTAAACAAGCCAAGAACAGGACGACCGCCCATTTTGATGGATCGAGAAAGGCGAATTATTGTTGGAAATGTGAAAAAAAAAAAAAATCCGACGATTAGCGCACCAAAATTGACAACTGATGTGAAAAACAATTTTGCGAAGTCATGCAATCCTGAAACAATTCGCCGTGTGTTACGGAAGGCAGGATACCATGGTCGAAATATGCGAAGAAAACCATTTGTTAGCAAAGTGAATCGCAAAAAGAGAATAGATTTTGCAAAAGAAAATGTAAAGCAGGACACAAATTTTTGGAATTCCGTGATTTTTTCGGATGAAAGTAAATTCAACATCCTACGGGTCAGATGGACACCAAAAAGTTTGGAGGAAAGCAAATGCAGCTCTAGAACCAAAGAACATGAGAGGAACTGTAAAACACGGTGGTGGTTCGATTATGGTTTGGGGTTGCATGGCAGCAACTGGAGTAGGAAATTTATTTATAATCGACGGAATAATGAATCAATATAGCTATTTGAATATTTTGAATAATCTAAGCCAAAGTGCTTCTAAATTGGGACTCGATAGATCCTTCACTTTCCAACAAGATAATTATCCCAAACATACTGCTCGGATTGTTTGGGAATGGCTGCTATATCACGTGTCGAAAACAGCTAAAAACTCCACCGCAGTCACCTGATCTTAATCCCATTGAAAACTTGTGGGATTATCTCGATTGCCAATTTAGAAAGCAAGAGATCAAAACTAAGAATGATCTAAAAAAAGCCCTTTCGGAGGAGTGGTAGAAAATACCATCTTCTGTCACTCAAAATTTAGTAAAATCAATGCCATCTAGATTGAGAGGTGTTATAAAGGCCAAAGGCTATCCAACAAATTACTAATTTTTTTGAAAAATTGTAAAATTTGCAATATTAATGTCTTTGTTTTTGTATACTTACTTTTATGATGTAAAATTACATCCTATTTTAAGTTAAGCTCATCTTGCTAATTAAATATTTGTATTTTTTAACTACTTTTCATTTTGTTATTAAGCTCGATTTTGCTGTAGTCGAAATAAATCGTTAATTTGAAAACTCTAATATTGTTGGTCTAATATTGTTTTCATAGGACATCATCATATACACTCTGCATACTTACTTTTGTGACTATGTATATGCATGCTGTTCACTGTAGTGAACAAACTGTAGCAATTATTTAAAACGAAATGTGAATAATTTTATTATTATTATTATTATTACTAAGGTTATTTGAAGTAGAAAAAATACAAACATTTTCGTTTAACTTCTCTAGATTATTTGTATGCAACAGAGGGTTAATGTGGAATGTAAATAAATAAATATAGTATCCTGAATTTTGCAAATAGTTTAATCAATATCATAAAGTAATCAATAGGTCTGAAGTCTTGTACTGTGAACAATAAACATGGTAAATGTTGTAAAACAAAAGTTTTTAAATAAATTTTAAAATCTTACAAATGAATACAAATTTTGTATGTAAATTAAGAAAGCTTATTAATAATATCATGGAAAATACTTGAAATTGAAGTATTTTGTAGATACTAAACAAGTAAAAAAATTTTTAATGGCAGTTATTAAGAAACAAATGGAATTAAAACAGTTTTAGTTAGAAATTATATGGTGAAAATAATTTTTACCTTATTACTGTAATTATATTGTAATTAAATTATATTAAATGCTGAAATTATAGCCTTCCAAAGTATAACAAATATGCAAAAAAGTGTTGAGAACCAGTAAAAAATATAATTAGAGCTTAAGTAAAAGTGAAGTAGCCTAAGCCAAATGGCCGAAATATCTGCACTCACAAAAACACATACACACACACACATATATATATTACTTTATCTGTTCTATTGATGGAATTTTGTTTCAGGTATGTCGTGGCTTCTACATCTGTGCTAGAGATCCTGAAATATGGAGATTGATTTGCCTTAGGTAAAATAATATATTTTTTTAACTAAAAAAATTATTTTAATTTATTTAAAATTTTTAATTTATTTATAATTTAGTTATTTTAATTTAGTTATTTAGTTAGTTTTAGAATTTATCTTCATGTCAGTTTTTGAATAACATGTATATTTTATGCATGAATATAATGATAAACATTTTCAAAGGTGCTGGTTAAAATTTTAAAAGTAATTAATAACTGAATGAAAAAAAATCAATTAGTCGATATTAACAAATGAAAAATCGGTTTTGGTCATCATGATTGGTTTCTTTCTAAAAGAAATTTTGAAAAATACACGTTGGTCACATCTTAATTTAAGCATATGAAATTTGAAAGTACTTGTAATTTTTCTGTTAGTTCAAAACTGAAATTTTTGCTGTTTATTTTTGCATTTGTCCTGTTCAAAATATAGAAGAAATTCATAGATATGAATACAGAAGTTCATGAGAAGATCTTTTTTTTTTTTTTTTTTTTTTTTTTTTTTTTTTTTTGTTGTTGTTGTTGTGGTAGTAAATTGTGTACCTACTTGTGAAATTGAAGTTTGAACTTCTTTGTATGACAGAATTGCAGTCTGCCTATTTTAGGACGAAGGATTGTACAGATTAAAGAATTTTGTGGACTATAAATCATGTTTTTTTCTAGCTTCATTTGCATTTTTCCTGTTTTGATTTTTATATTAAACTTTGATTGTTTGTGCATTAAATAGCCAACCAAAAATATACCCACACTTTAAGAATTATTTACACCAGATTTATTGAATACAAAATCAGCATGATTTTTAAATGTAAAGAAAGAATGAAATTTGTATGTAAAGAAAATAATTCCACCAGAGCTGTTCTGATTTTTATATTAAATTTGGATTGTTTGTGCATTAAATAGCTAACCAAAATATACCCATATTTTAAGAATTATTTACACCAGATTTAGTGAATACAAAATCAGTATAATTTTTAAATGTAAAGAAAGACTGAAATTTGTATGTAAAGAAAATAATTCCAGCAGAAACATGAAAAATGTATAAATGAGAGGGAAATATTTTGGGGAAATAAAGAACTTTTTTTGTAAAAATGTAACCAAATATTTTGCACAAAATAAAATCGATATATCCATTTGTGAAATTACTCTCCAAGTAATTTTTAAACAAAAGAAAAAACTGTTACTGTTGCATTACTCTGCTAAAACACTTAAAATTATAGTGTTTACAGAAATGCTTGAAGTAAGATTTTGCCTACTATTACCCTATGCTGATGGTCCCATTATATTCCATGCATGTGCAAGTGAACTAATAACATTATTGCCAGTTTAAAAGAATGCTAGAATTGAAATTTTTGACTTATTAATCTTCTTGAGCCCATGTTTGCTATGTTTATCATTTTTAATGCTGAAAAAAATCTGCACAAGTGCTATTTTTAATAAACTATCCCTGTTTGCTCCTAATATAAACTAGCCTGTTATTTGCATGTATGCAAACAAACCAAATACTAATTGCATAAACTCAAAATTAATTTTAAAAACAGGAAAATATCTGAAAGAGAATCGTGATCCATGTTTACTATTAGCAGTTACTATTGTTACTATCACTTACAGAAAGCACTGATGCATGTGCAGGAAATTCTGTATAGCTCCATTAATAAAATAAACATTTTCAATCAAAGTAGGTTATGAATGTAATGCATTTTTATTAGATAACTTATGAGAAAAAAAAGTCATGCTGAATTTTCTGAAAACCAAAATTTTGTTTGATTATATCCAAAAATGAACCTAAATTACGGGCATTCACAGATTAAGTGGTCACATATTATTGGAATTGTAAGAGTGTAGCTCTTGAAACTGACTGACTTTTGAGATTATATAGGGATCTTTGAAAGACTTGTCAGAGGATTAAAGTGAATAATGCTTGAAATACACGAGGCTGGTTAATTAGCCAAGTTGCTTTTGCAGTCGGTTATATCAAAGGATACAAACTGACTGTTTGTTAGTGCTGAACATAAATTACGGGCATTCACAGATTAAGTGGTCACAGATTATTGGAATTGTATTGTGCTGTGTCTGAAGTAAGAGTGTAGCTCTTGAAACTGACAGACTTTTGAGATTATATAGGGATCTTTGAAAGACTTGTCAGTGGATTAAAGTGAATGCTTGAAATACATGAGGCTGGTTAATTAGCCAAGTTGCTTTTGCAGTCAGTTATATCAAAGGATACAAACTGACTGTTTGTTAGTGCTATGTCAGTATTGTAGATAAAAACATATGCTAGTCAGAATTGATAAATAAGGTTTACTGTATGGAATATTCATCCTTCTTTTTGGAAGATTCAAATAACAGAATTTTTGTGTTTGTTGACATATTTTCCTAAAATGTAAAGCATTGTACAGTATGAATTAAAAGCTCCAAGGCATGATGAGGTAGACAGTGGCATTCTGTAAGCCATAAACAGCACACATCTAATGTTACTGTTTGCTTACATAACAGTGTGTTGGCACAATGGGCATTTCCTAGCTAGCATGAAACTTGCTGAGATGGCACTCTTCTTAAAAGCAAATGAATACTCTAATGTTGTGGCTGCTTATTGGCCTATTTGCCTTGTGCCTGCCTTAGTACTAGAGGGAGTTGTTCTACAAAGATTGAAACACTATATTCTTTCTGGACAAAATATAAGTGAAAAACAGTATGGTTTCATTCCTGGCAGATCAGTGGTTTACGCACTGCAACACATCTGAAAAATGGTAATAAATAACAGGATAAATATTCAGTGCAGTCTCTTCTCGGTAGACATACAGGAGGGCCTTTGATTTATTGTCATGGCCCAACATACTGAAGAAATTACAGGACATGGGTTGCTCAAAGATCCTCTTGATCTAGTTCATAGTTAATTTAACGACCCCCGCATGCAAGCCACAATGGACGCAGGTTTGAACTGACGTCCTATCAATAGAAGCTGTCCTCAAGGATCTTGTCTGGGTCTGCAGCTATGGAATCTAATCGCTGCTGACACAGCGCTGAATCTTACATGGAAATATTAGTGTATGTCGATGACTTTTTACTAGTTATTAACCCCTTAACAATCGGATAACTTTCAAGAAAATGGTCATAAAAGTGCTTATTTTTTATTGAAGAAAATTGTGTAGAAATAAATGAATGTACAATATATGCATTCATTTTTAATTTCTGGATTATTTTTTAGCTTGAAATTTTTAAAATATTATTTTTGAGAAAAAGCCAACGTTCAGGTTTATTTTGACTGAATGTTGGTTTTCCAGTAAGCCAGGAAAATTTCAAAAATATGTGTTTTAAACATTAAAAGAAAATTTTATTAAACTTACGTATAATATAAACAAGGCCAACGTCACAATCTGGACAGTAGTACTGAGTTTCCTTCCTACATCTCTTATTGTTTTCATCTCTTCTGGAACAACACACTTTTCATTCTCTTGATGGTTGACGTTTCTTATCAGTTGGGGGTATCCGTCTAATAAAATGTCTTTCAATCAAACGGTTTGGATTATCCTCCAAGCTTGGCTGGCTTTTTTTTTTTAGATGGTATATAAGTTTATCTACTAAAGATAAACGAAACACCAAATGGGATTTTTTTCCCGCCCTGTTTTTTGTAAATAAAATACAAGTTCAAAATAGTTTGGTCTAACAAATGAAAAAAATTTTCTTTAATATTTCTTTCTCTTTTCGAGCAATAGAGTAATCCCAAGGTACTGGTCTACAATAGCTACTGCCCCATATTTTTATTGTAATCTGTGACAATTGCAGGTTTTTGACAAATTTGTTATGACATGCACATCTACCATGTCATTTGTGGTGAACTGTAGATAACATGGTAATTTCTTTATCTTCCACTTCATGGCAAGAACTTACTTCGACGAAAAGCAATTCCTTTTTTACTAATTCTTGAGGGCATTTCTTTTCGGTTTAGTTTACAGTCTATAAGTGTCTGTTGAGATTTAAAAGCATGTCTGCCTTATGGTGAGGTATAAAAATTGTTATCAGACAGTATCCTTGTTTTAGCAGAGGCTTGATAAGTGACATCACAACTTGAATTGATTGGGGCAGATCTTTATATTTTGCATCAAAAAACGTACCTTTTCCAGTATATATAATTTGTGACCATATATACCCTGAACGTGATTCACATAACAAATCCGATTTTACTCCAAAACGGGATCTCTTTTTCGGCATATATTGTCGCCATCCTAAATGACCTTTGAAAAGCATGAGGGTTTCATCAATTACAATATCATGTCCATGAGTTACAGCTCTTTGAAACAATTCATTCAGGCCAGATTAACCTGTAACACTGGCCAGATTTTATGTAGCTTGGGATTTGGATGTGTGTGACAATTAAAAGCTTCATTATCTACAAAATGCAGAAACTTGTGTATTTTGTAAAATCTATTACAAGGCATTATGCTTCTGAAAAAAGGTGTTGAAATTGAATGTTTTTTCCTCCAATTCATTTCTGAATTTTTTTTTTTCTTTTTCTTTTTCTTTTTTTTTTTTTTTTACAATGCCTTGCAAAATAACAATACTGAGAAATTTAAGAATTTCTTCCAGTGGGACAGGTATCCAAGGTTTTCTATTTTTGGATAGGTGGAATCCTGGAGAATTTTGGCATTGTTTGGCATATCTATTTTGTTTCCGAAACAATGAGATCCCCTAAATTGTCTTTCACAAAATACTTAAAATATTGTAAGATGCCAGAATTGGAATAAAAATTTATATTTAGCTTTGGTGCTCCCCAAAATTTAAAACGTGGGGTGCATGATCTGCTGAAGTAGACACAATTTTAGTCCATGCTCATCCAGGCAACAGTACAGATCCATCATCACTGCTCTCAGATTCACTAACCAAACTTTCATAAAAATCAGTTACTTCAGAATCACTTTCAGATCCATTTACACTAAAATCAGAATCCAATTCACTATCTGACTCTGACTCCATAAGGTACAGAATAAAAATTTAAGTATATTTTATCACA